TATTGGGTATGAATCTCCTTCTATTATAAAATATTTGGAACCTACGACTGGAGATGTATTTACGGCAAGATTTGATGATTGCCATTTTGATGAATCAGTATACCCAATACTAGGGGAGAAAATAAGAAAAAAAAGATAGATTGGAATGCATTATCACTATCTCATTTAGATCCTGGAACAAATCAATGTGAACACGAGATTCAAAAGATAATTTATTTGCAAAATATTGCAAATCAACTGCCAGATGCATTTACTAACCTACAAAGGGTGACTAAGTCACATATTGCAGCTGTTAATGCTCTTATTCGAATTGATGTCCCGGCTAGACAATCTATAAATGCAAATGAGTCTAAACCACGCTTGAAACGTGGTAGACCAGTCGGTTCCAAAGATAAAAATGCCTGAAAGAGAAAAGGAACAAATGATCTAGGGGATCATAATATGGAGTCAATTGCTCAAAAAGAACCATATGACATAACAAATGATAAGACCTCAGAGGAGGCCCAGGTACCTGAAAATAATAAGAATGAAGAGATCCCAATAAATTATGTCTCTACAAGAAAAAAATTAAACTGAAATAACATTATTGTCGACAACGTTTTTGCTTATAATGTTGTTGTTGAAATAATACAACAAGATGAGGATATTGAACCAAGATCTGTCGATAAATGTAGACAGAGAAATGATTGGCCAAAATGGAAAGACGTTATCCAGGCAGAATTAGCTTCACTTGAAAAACGTGAAGTATTCGGACCTATAGTCCGAACACCTGAAGGAATAAAGCCAGTGGGATACAAATGGGTTTTTGTGCTAAAACTAAATGATAAAAATGAAGTCGTTAGATATAAAGCACGACTTGTGGCACAAGGATTTTCACAAAGACCTGACATTGATTATATGGAGACATATTCTCCTGTGGTGGATGCAATCACTTTCAGGAATCTTATAAATTTGGCAGTCCATGAAAAACTTGATATGCGTCTGATGGATGTTGTCACTGCATATTTGTATGGCACATTACAAATTTATATGAAAATCCCTGAAGGGTTTAAAGTTCCTGAAACTTATAAAAGCTTTAGGGAAACTTGTTCAATAAAGTTTCAAAAATCCTTATATTGATTGAAACAATCAGGGCAAATGTGGTATAATCGCCTGAGCGAATACTTGCTGAAAGAAGGGTATAAGAATGATCCAATTTGTCCTTGTGTCTTTATAAAAAGGTCTGAATCTGAATTTGTTATAATCGTTGTGTATGTTGATGATCTAAATATCATTGGAACTCCTGGGGAGCTTCCAAAAGCAGTAGACTGTTTGAAGAAAGAGTTTGAAATGAAAGATCTTGGAAAGACAAAATTTTGTCTTGGTCTACAAATTGAGCATATGAAAGATGGAATTTTTGTTCATCAATCAACGTACACCGAAAAGATCTTAAAGTGTTTTTATATGGATAAAGCTCATCCGTTGAGTACCCCGATGGTTGTGAGATCACTTGATATAAATAAAGATCCATTCTGACATCATGAAAATGATGAAAAACTTCTTGGTGATGAAACTCCATACCTTAGTGCAATTGGGGAACTAATGTACCTTGCAAATAATACTCGACCAGATATAACTTTTGCAGTTAGTTTATTATCAAGATTTAGTTCCTTTCCAACAACAAGACACTGGAATGGTGTTAAGCATATTTCAGATACCTCCGAGGGACTATTAATATGGGATTATTTTATTCTTATGAATCTGATTCACAAATGATTGGTTATGCAGATGCAGGTTATTTGTCTGACCCAAATAAAGCTCGATCTCAAATCAGGCTATCTATTTACTTGTAGAGGTACAGCTATACTATGGTGCTCAACAAAACAAACTTTAGCTGCTACATCTTCCAATTATGCAGAGATTATAGTTATTCATGAAGCTAGTCGAAAATGTGTATGGTTGAGATCACTGATTCAACACATTCAACAATTGTGTGGTCTTTCTTTAAAGACGAAGATTCCAACAATATTATATGAAGATAATGTTGCTTGCATAGCTCAACTAAAAGGAGGATATATCAAAGGAGACAGAACAAAACACGTTTCACCAAAGTTCATTTTCACGCATGATCTTTAACAAAATGATGAGATAGATGTTCAACAGATCCGTTCAAGTGATAATCTGGCAGATTTGTTCACAAAAGCATTGCCAACATCAACATTTGAGAAGCTGAGACATAAGATTGGAACGCATCGTCTCCGAGATATCAAATAAAGTTTTCATCAGGGCGTTGTACTCTTTTTTCCTTAACCAAGGTTTTGTCCCAATTGGGTTTTCTTGGTAAGGTTTTTAATGAGGCAGCACTCAATGCGTATTACAAGATATGTGTACTTTTTTTCCTTCACTAGGCTTTTTCCCATTGGATTTTTCCAGTAAGGTTTTAACGAGGCACATTATCTTCTAAATGAACATCCAAGGGGGAGTGTTATGAGATGAATGCATTTGTCTGTCCATGTAACGTACTTTGTATTCATGTACTCAATTAAAAAGTACATTAACTTATAACCTTTGAATGTATTTGTACATTTATAAATAACGAACTTTTGACCCTATGAAAAACACACCAAGAAGAGAAATAACAAAGTCATTCTACTCCTATATATCTTGTCTCCATTACTATATTGTTCTAGTTTGCTCTCATTTCTAAATATAATTCACATACCGTGTTATATTTACGATAGGGCTCAACTGAGAGATGTTGTGACACGAGTGACTGATCATATGGACTTAATTTTTGGACCGTGTTGGTAACATAATCACAAAGAAGAATGGATTCTTCTTTTTTGTTTTGGTAAAAAGTTTTATGCAAGAAGCTGAAATTGATTATGAGAAAACCTTTTCACCAGTTATAAAGTTTACCAATTCGATTATCTTTGGCTATTGTTGCACGTTTGGATCTGAAATTACACCAAATAGACGTGAAAACAGTATGGAACAACATATAGATTTTGTCGTTAAAAGCCAAAAAAAAAAAAGAAAATAAGATCTGCAAATTGAAAAGATCTATATATGGCCTGAAACAGTCCTCGAGGAAATGGTATTTGAGATTTCACAAGAAGGTGATATCATATGATACCATGATCAATGAAAATTATAGCATTTATATGAAGAAGTCCAATGAAATATTTATAATTCTTTTTCTTTACGCGTATGATATTTTATTGCCGGAAATAATTTGGAGTATCTGAGAACGATTAATCATGGCTTTCAAAGTCATTTGACATGAAAGATATGGGTGAGGCAGACCACATTCTTGGAGTTAAGATCCAAATAAATTGTTCCAAGAAGTTATTGCGTCTATCTCAAGAAACTTATATAGAGAAAGTTTTGTAATGCTTCCAGCTAAATTGTTGCAAACCCATGGATACTTCTTTAGCGAAAGTGAAACTTTAAGCCTTGAAATGTGTTCAGAGATTAAAAATGAAAAGGAAGACATATCTTGAGTTCCATATTCAAGTGTTGTCGGGCACTTGATGTACGCTATAATGTGTACCCAAATATTTATTATGTCATAGGTCTGACTGACAGGTATCAAACCAATCTTGGAAAAGATCATTGAAAAGAAATGATAAGGATTTTTCGATACATAAAGAGAACCGCAGATTCTTCACTATGTTACGGTGAAAATGAATTATCTTGAGAGAGTATACAAATGTGAGAGACATCATGGCAGATGAAGAAATAACATTACAATACATACAAACACAAAACATATAGTTGATCCTCTTACAAAAGCAATATCTAGAGATATATTTGAGAAACATGTCATAGCTCTAGGTTTGCAAAGGATATGTTAGTATTTGTGTATTGTAAAATATTTTAGTTATTATAGTATACTCATTAATGTATTATTATTGATTTAGTTGATAATTTGTATGCATGTGATGGTATCCTTTTGAAGGATATAAGTGTGTCGGATAAGTCGCGAGATCGACTCTCTCACACGAGTGATCGCCTCTAACGTCGAGGAACATGCATAGATGAGATATATTAAAACCTTGATTAGTGCAAGGTCCTGTATATCTTTGGATAAAATGGTCGGTCTTGACTAGAGTTTAGGTTTAAGGATTTCATGATCCTTAATGACTTGTTTTATAAGCAAAATGTGAGTTTCTCTAAGAAATTGAATTTGAGGATTATTAAAGTGAGAAACTCGGGTTAGACATCTGGAGGTGTATAGACTAAGATCTGGACAATGTTGAATAAGTAATGAATAAGACACGTACTCCAATATAATGTGAAAATACCGTAACATGTGTTTCATACCACGTGTGCTATCAACCAGTGGGATAATAGAAGAATGGATCCTTGCTTCTTCATTGTGTGAGATGCTGAAGAGTTATATTAACTTTAATAGGAATATCCTTTGGCCTCTTGAAGTGCCAATCGGTGTTGCTATTTAGCATGTTCACTAATAGCCATGAGTGATTCGGCAATACAATGCTTGTCTATGAAAGCACTTGATTTGGAGCGAATAGATTCAAGTAGAAAGGAAAGACAATTAAAATTAGTAAATTTAACTTGAGGTTTAATTCGTTAGAAATTATTTACGTTACTAACAGTAAAAATAAAAGAATAAACTGTAATTCGTAGAAACAACAAGTTTATAAAGACATCGTCAAACTTAACCTGACCGGTCGCAAGGACAACTAATGGCATAACCCTTGTTTATGCCCTAGCCTTAAAACGTTACTTTCAGTAATGCCATAATATATTTTTAAAAATGAAGCGATAAGCTAAAATCATTTTTCTCAGCCACGTTTAATTAATAATCGTTCCAACGACTGCGTGAACATTTTACTAAACTTCATTAGCTGTTAGTTTTTTCCCGGTGAAATTTTTGAATAAAATAATTCCTAATTCGTTACTAGAAATACGTTTATACTAGTTCGTAATTTCGGTAAAAATGCCATAAAGTAAGATAGACTTACAAAAAATAATAGTTATGTAGCAATACTAACCTGATAATCCTACACCCCCAATTTTGAGACCGTTACCAAGAATAAGAGTGGCAGGATAGGTTCTATCAATGTCACAAGCAGCAACACCTACAGCCCATGGACTATAAGAGATAACAGAGTAAGGAGAAGGACCCTGGTTCCCAGCTGCTTGAACAACAAACGTTCCAGCCTTGTGTGCAGCTAACATGAATATCTCAAACAGGCTCAAGAAAGTCAGTGTGCCTTCTGGTGGTTCATCTGGTCCTACTGACAGAGTCAAGATATCAACCCCATCTAATACTGCCTGCAAATTAATTTGTGAAACTGGATCAATCTCTTGAAAATTTTAGAATTTGGTTGAATGAGAATCCCTGATCGGACTCATGCATATTAGAAGAATGAAAGGTGTGAGCTGGGCTAAGTATGTGCTAATGCTAAAACGATATTAATTACTTCTTTCTAATAGTCGTGGTGTTCGAGTCAACTTGCACGCATTTCAACTATACTAAAATAATAATTACTTATATAATACCGGTGGGATTGCAAAGGTAAAATAACTACTCCCTCCGTTCCAAAAAAAGATGACACTTTTCGAATTTCGAGAGTCAAACGAGTAGTTCTTTGACCACGACCTTTTCATATACCTTTCAAATATTTTGAATTGTTAAATATTGTGACTCAAAGTATATTTTATATAATATTTAAATCTTATTTTTAAAAACTTAAAGATTCTATGTCTAAATTCATCGTCAAATTTAAGAGGTTTGACTCTCAAGATCCGAAAAGTATCATTCTTTTTCGGACAGGACGGAGTAATAATTCTATATACCCTGAAAAATGAGTAACAATTAAATTTGTACGCGATTTAAAGGATACGTGATTTAATTCAATACGAATGATCTAAGAACAACGAGTAATTAAATTAAAGAGAGAATGAACGCTCAAACCAAACGTAATGTGACGGTCAAACCAGATCGTAAGCTGGACACTAAGATCCGGCCTCGATCCGACCCTCGATATGGGCTCGGTTGCAATTAAAGAAAAGAATAGCTGAAGAACACTATGAATGATAGCTAGAAGACAGAAATGAACTTTTATTGCTTTGATATGCATGTCAACCATGTGTTATAATATATAAAAAAAATCCCCTCTATATAGCAGGGGATTTCAGTCCTAAATACACTATAAATAAGGTAAAAATATTCTTTTTCCGGTAAATGTCGATCCGCAGTTGATATCGGACGTGATTTGTGCTGTAATATCCGGTTGAGGGCGAATATTACGGCTCCCTACTTGTCATGCCCAATCGCTCCTCCTTTTCCCGTGGTCTCAAAACTTTACTTGGCCCGGGCCCATTGTTTTGCCATGCCCGATCCTAGATGCATCGTTCACTCCTCCCGAGTTCAGATAGGAGAGATCCTTCGGCCTTGCTTGTAGTTGCGTCGGACCGTGCTTCCCTCTCGTTTCCTTATTGGGGAATCGGGGAAAATATTGTCCCCGATTCTAACCTTACACAGATAGTCCCCATGCTTTTCGGAGAGCAGGTTTATCGAAGCGACGGGAAGCAATTAATTGACCTCTATAACCCAATCGACGGGGTCAGTGAAACGTCCCATCAGTCGCGTCGTTCTAACTTCGAACACGTGTCAGCCGCAGGTTGACCGTCCTCGAATGCAAAATGTCACGCATTGATTACCCCCTCTCTATAAAAGCTTCGGTTGCTTTTTTTTTACTTTTTTACTTTCAATTCCAGAACTCCTTAATTTACCCCCGAACTTTTTACTTGTTCTTAACCCCTTCAAATCTTCATACATTGTTCTATACATTTTCATATATTCATCTTCCCATCTTCAAATCTTCATACTTCATCCTTAATTCTTCAAGTTTGACCTTCAAACATTCATCCTCATCTTCAAATCTTCATATTTCCCAAAACTCGATGGCGAAGACTTCGAAATCTATGCCCCAACAGACCGTCCCTTCAACTTCTAACTCGGCCACGGATGCTGAGGTGGCCGTACCTGAAATGGCCCCAGAACCACCCCTTAAGAACTTCATCCTCGGAGGCTATTCTATAGAAAACGACTTCAAGGTCGAAAAAACCTCCAGTCAACAGGATTGGGGCGAGGAGGTATGGAGGTACATATGCTCCATCACCGAGGACATGCTCCCTACAGTTCGGAAGGACTGCAAATGGGAGGGCAAAGAAGTGGTCGTCCCCGGTCCTCATGAGGACATCACTATGTGAAGGGGTATCTGAGTGTTTACACATACCCCTTCACACTAGCCCCGGTGGACCCATAGTCCTCGATTTTTGCAGAAGGTACGAGGTCTGCCTCGGGCAGATTCACCCATCCTTTTGGAGTATCTTGATCCTCCTTCGCCACTTCGCAGTGTTTTGGATAGCGTGCGGCGACAAATAGCGACGAGGGCCCGCTTCACTGAGGCGAGAGGCGCGCAGCGAAGCGCTCGCCTTTTTGCTGTGAAGCGACAATTTATACAAAAACATAAAATATTATATACATATAACTAAAAACTCAAAAACAATAATATATTAATAAATATCATTCAAAAATTAATTGCGGATCTTGATGAGCCTTGTATA